AGGAAAGGAAAGGAAAGGAAAGGAAAGGAAAGGAAAGGAAAGGAAAGAAGGGGAGGGAAGAAAACAAGGAAAGGAAAGGAAAGGAAAGGAAAGGAAAGGAAAGGAAAAGGAAGGAGAGGAAAAGAAAGGGAAGAAAGGAAAGGGAAGGGAAGGAAAGGAAAGGAAAGAAAGGGAAGGAAAGGAAAGGAAAGAAAGCGAAGGAAAGGAAAGGAAAGGAAGGAAGGAAAGAAGGGAAGGGAAGGGAAGGGAAGGGAAGGGAAGGAAAGGAAAGGAAAGGAAAGGAAAGGAAGATTCAGGGAGATTTTAATTGGAGACTATTAACATCCTCATCTCCCATACTGACTTTAATGCTACAAGTTGCCCTGATGGGATCTTTGTCATTCAAAGCAACTGAGAGAAACTGTAAACAAAGGAAGACGCTACAATTCTAAGTGAGTTCCATATAAAAATAAATCTTCCGCAGACATAGCTTTGTCAGAGACTGCATGGCTGAGAAATGAACGTTTATTCACGTTACGTGTTCATCTGTTCATCGTGACCAAAGAAAAGGGGGGCAGTCAGTGCAGTGACACTCAGCTGGATCGGGCTCTTGTGGAGTTTATGGTCCAATGTTCTCCCTCCCAGCTTGCCTCCAGCACCATGTGCAGCTCATCCTGCAACACGCCAAGATGTCCTTCCACCCTTGACTTCTTTTTGCTTCACTCAAGTTTTTTCCACACCATCAGCTGCCCACATCACGGACTCAAAGTATGTGAACTTCTGCTGGATCATTCAGACAAATTGTTGTCCAATCTTTTATTAAAAACCTCCAGTTATGGAGCACCCATAATTTCTGGATGCAACCTGTTCCACTGGTTAATTGTTCTCAATGTCAAGAAATGTCTAATTTCTAGGTTGGATCTCTTGTTAATTATCTTCCATTCATTGTTTCTTGTCCTGCCTTCAGGTGCTTTGGAGAATAGGTTGACCCTCTCTTCTTTGTGGCATCCCCTGAGATATTGGAAGACTGCTATCATATCACCCCTGGTCCTTCTTTTCATCAAACTAGACATACCCAACTCCTGCGACCATTTTTTATATGTTTTAGCCTCCAGTTCCCTAATCAACTTTGTACTTTTTCTAGAGTCTCCGCATCTTTTTTACATCGTGGCAACCAAAACTGGATGCAGTAGGGCCTTACCAAGGCCTCATGAAGTGGTGTTAACACTTCACAAGGTCTTGATTCTATCCCTCTATATATATTACTGCAACCTAGGATTTCTTGATAATTGTCCAACTTCATCACTGTCTTCTTCCGTAAGATTGTAGTGGTTCTTTTTATCCATCTCTGCTTTCCAGCTGAGAAGGGGACACCAAGGTAGTTAATGGATTTGTGGTCAAAATCAAACAAGAGATTTCAGCTACGATTCCGTTTCATTCTCATGATACCTGTAGACAATAATCCCCTAGCAAAGTCTGCAAAAAAATAGAGGCAGCTGCAGTTTTATTGGATCTGCAGATCCCTTTGGGATCACTGTATCGGCTTTTAGGAGGCACCATGGATTCCCTGCTCTGACTGAAAAAGCAAGATTTCCAATTCTCTGCTGTGGAATGAGGTTTTAGATCTCTCTGAAGGCCCTTTTGGATCTATAGATTCAGTACATCTGAATCAGCAAGCCGTTGCTGAAACAGCTACTGCAGTGCAGTGAAGTACAATATGCAATGAAGAAATAACAAAGGATGTGTTAATTTTCAACAGAGATGTCCTCTCAGGATGATGTCCTGACGATCTGGTTAAAGTACATCCAGAGAGAAGAAAAGCATTGATGGGGAGAATTTTATGACACCATTTCTCAACCTTAGTAACTTTAACATGGGTAGACTTTAACCCCCAGAATTCCCCAGAGATATAAAAGGCAACAATGCCAGTAATACAGCAAAGAATCCCAATAAATTTTCCCACCTTTTTCTTCTGGGTGTTCTGTATACTGTTTAATTTACCTCATGATGTTCCTGTGTTCCTGACTATCTTTGTGTTTTTTCTTTCTGGATGATGACAAAGACTGCTGTAAATTTAAATGTTAACTATATTTATATATCTATATCTATATCTATCTACCTGTATCTATATGTATCTGTATCTATATCGATATGTATCAATATCTATATCTATCTATATCGACATGTATCTACTATATATGTATCTATATCTAGCCATCCATTTCTCTTTCTCTTTCTCTTTCTCTTTCTCTCTCTCTCCCTCCCTCCTTCCCTCCCTCCCCCCCTCTCTCTCCTATAAAAATACAGCAAAGACCCCCAATAAATTTTCCAGCCCTTTTCTTCTGCGTGTTCTGTATACTGTTTTAGATTTACCTCATGATGGTCCTGACTATCTTACATTCTTCCTTTTCTGGAGGATGACAAAAACTGCTATACGTGTAAACATTAACCACATTTATATTTATATAAAAGGCTACAAGTTTGTGTCAGTGTCTCTGACTGCATCTGAACAGCTGCCGCACAAAAGGCATATTTTTCAGTCAAGTTTAGAACGATTCACACTGAGTTTAAAACGATTGCTCACATGCGTATTATTGCGATTAAAACAAAAACGGTTACCTACACATAAAACATTACTGCGTACAATTTTGTGTGCAATACCTAAGTCTGACTACAAGCAACACAGTTCAAAATTATCCAAACCAAGGATTTTTAGCCTAGTAGCATAGAGGATTCTATTATGCATAGAAGAGAGCAAAGCTTTTCCCCTATCTATCTATCTATCTATCTATCTATCTATCTATCTATCTACCTACCTACCTACCCACCCACCCACCCATCCATCCATCCATCCATCTATCTATCTATCCATCCATCCATCCATCCATCCATCCATCTCCGCCTTACCTCTGAAGGCCCAGGATCCCAGCTAGGTTGCGATAAATCACCGTGCCCACCACAAAGATGGTGGAGTCATCAGTCTCTGTGAAGAAGCAACAAATTTATGGATTTATTCAATAGAATACAGAATACAATCCTCAATTTGCAACAGTCCATTCAATGAGCATTCAAAATTACAACAGCAGTGAAAAAACGTGACGTCTGATTGTTTTTTTTCACACTTAACAACTGTTGGTCGCAGCAGCCACATGATCACCCAATCAAAATGCGGATGCTTGACAAATGATTCATATTTACGACCATGACGATGTCCCAAGATCATATGATCCCCTTCGGCCACCACCTGACAAGCAAAGTCCGTGTGGAAGCCAGATTCACTTAAAACCGGATTACCAACTTAACACCTGCAGTGACTCGCTTAACAACGGTGGCCAGAAAGTTGTAAAATGGGGCAAAACTCACTTAGCAAATGTCTCACTTAACAACAGAAATTTAAGGCTCAGTTGTGGTTGTAAGCCAAGGACTACCTTTAACAGAATTGGAAGGGACCTTGAAGGTCTTCTAGTCCAACTCCTACTGAAGTAGAATGTGTGTGTGTGCGTGTGTGTGTGTGTGTGTGTGTGTGTGTGTGTGTGTATAGGCAAGCTGTTCCACTGGTTAATTGTCCTCACTGTTTGGAAGTTTCTCCCTAATTCCAGGTTGGTTCTCTCCTTGATGAGTTTCCATCCATTATCTCGCCTTCTGGTGCCTTGGAAAATAAATTAACCCCCTCCTCTTTGGGGCAGCTTCTCATAGCCGGCCTGGGGAACCCAGAGTGAAATGAAATCCATCAAATGTCAATGTCTGGAATCCTCAACCTGACTCTGTGGTTTCTTCCCCAAACCCCAAAAACTTTAACCTTAAGACTGTCTACTCTTGACCTCACCCCTTTCCTAAGAGGTCTGTAGGGGGCGTGCATAAGCGCTCCAATGTGCCTACCGTCCCTGTCCTATTGTTTCTTTTATTTTTCTTATACGTATCCATTTCATGTATTCATAATTATGTTTATACTTATTATCTTGTAAGTGATTGACAAATCAAATAAATCAAATAAAAAATATTTTTTTAAAAAAATGGCTCCTGTGATTTGCTGTCGCCGGGGCAGGGCGGTGGGGTGGGAGTTGAGGGCAATTTATTTCCAGATTTTGTTCTATTGCACTTTATTAATTTATTTGACTCTTTTTGTTAGTTTTTATTGTTTTTTTTTTTATTTTAAATATGGTTTTACATTCTGTAAGCCGCCTCGAGTCGCCATGGGCAAATAGGCGACAATATAAATTCAATCAATCAATCAATCAATCAATATACTGGAATACTGCTATCATGTTCCCCCTTGATCTTCCATTTGTACAGCCATCTATCTCAAACCAGTGTCTATGGTCAGCCAACAATCATAAAAACAATTACAAGAGTTAAGACAATACAGATAGGGAGAATGTTCTAGAAGGCTACTGCAGAGAAGGCATGCCTCGTGGCTCCTTCCAGCTTTCAATACCTTGGTTGATGGTACTCAAACATGCCCTTCTTGCTAAATTGTCTGGGTAGCAACACCTAGAACGAGATGGTCCTTTGTTGTGGTGGTTAGTCAGCAGCAGGTGCAGACGGCTGAGGAGAGCGAGGACTCAGATGAGGGGCCAGGACCATTAGGGAGTAGACTGCTGCCTTCAGAGATTGTGGGGGCTGGCAGCAGCAATGAGGAGGTTCCCGAGGAGCCTGTGCCAAATGTGCGCACGTTCAGGATTGCTCACAGGAAAGAGCAGCTGCAGCAGCACGAACGACTTGGGAGTAAGGCTGCAAGGTAATGGCCCCTCCTTCAGGAAGACAAAAGCCAGCTGTGAATTGAACGTTCTTTGCAGGAAGCAAAGACGTTTTGAAACTCGAGCTTCATGGACATTGCAGTATCTTAGTTAGTATTTGAAAACTCTTGTGTTGTAAAATATTTCCTGGTAACCTTATTTGTTCTTCTTGGCAGCCTCACACAGTTTTGGCGAGGCTTGTGCTTATCAAAGTTAATTAGTTTGCAGCAGCGTTTTAACTGGGGATTTGTAAGAATCCAATAAAAGGTTTCTGTTCCCTTTGGTTCGTGTTTGTTTTATTGGAAAAGGGTTTGGGTCAGAACGTTTGTTATAGTACCACTCAATAGCGCAGCATTGAGGCCACACTTGGGATACTGTGTCCAATTCTGGTCACCATGATACAGAAAAAACGCTGAGACTCTAGAAAGGGTGAAGAAAAGAGCCAAGGAGATTATCAAGGTTCTGGGAGGCTAAACTCTTAAGATGAACGGCTTAAGGGACTAGGTAAATTTAACCCGAAGAAGAGAAAGCACTTAGGAGACATGATTAGCTGTCTTCCAGTAGTTGAAGAACTGTCCTAGGGAAAAATTGGTAAACTTATTCTCCAAAGCCCTTGAGGCTAGGACAAGAAGTCATGGGTGTTAGCTCAACAGAAGGAAATCCAACCTAGAAATAAGGAGGAATTTGCTAACGGTAAGAACTATTAAATCGGTGGAAGAGCTTGACTCCTGGAGCTGGGGATGTTCCATTGCTGGAGATGTTCAAGAAAAGATTGGACAACCATTTGCCCAGGATGTGGACAAATGAGGGTTGAACAGGGGCCCTTCCAACCCTAGGAAAAACAGCTACAGATTTTGAGTCTGGCTAGTCTAAAGAAAAGAAAAATCAGGGGCGACATGGTAGCAGTATTTCAGTATTTGAGGGGCTGACACAAAGAAGAGGGGGTCAATTTATTTTCCAAAGCACCAGAGGGAAGGACAAGAAGCAACGGATGGAAACTTATGAAGGAGAGAAGCAACCTAGAACTAAGAAGAAACTTCCTAACAGTGAGGACAATTAACCAGTGGAACAGCTGGCCACCAGAAGTTGTGGATGCTCCAGCACTGGAGGTCTTTAAGAAGAGACTGGACAATTATCTGAAATGGTATTGGGCAGTGAAGGCTAAACTTTTCCGGCTCCCATGCCAATAATTGCGCCTCGCATGCCAGCACCCAGAAGGCAATGCGTGCTGCTCCCCTCATTCCCGCTGAGCATGCGCGCACGATTCCCCCTCACACGCAGCGCATCTGAGTATACGCATGCGGTTCCACCCCACGTGCGCCATGCATCTTTGTACATGCACGCGCAATCCTCCCATCGTGTGCCACACGCCTTTTGCGCAGGTGTGCACAATTCCCCCTCACGTGCCGCACATCTTTGGGCCGGCATGCGATTCCCCCCCTTGCACGGAGTGCATCTGCGCAGGCACGCATGATCCCCTCATGCACAGCGCATCCCTGTGCACGCGCGTGCATCTCCTGCGCGCAGCCCCCTTCGCCCCACGGTGCGTGCATGCTGGATGCTTGACCATCAGTTGTTGGGTGGCGGCGCACCCGCGCATTCACAGTGGGGCTCTTCCGGGCAACCTCTCGCATGCTGGGGGGAAATGGCTCTGCATGTGGCATAGGTTCGCCAACACGGGACTAGGGTCTCCTGCTTCAGCAGAGAACTGGATTAGAAGACTTCCAAGGTCGCTTCCGTTCTAACCACTCCAACCTATGATTCTAAGATGGCCCCAACCCATGAAAAGCTTCAAAGGTGAGAAAGTCCATGTTTCACATAGCCGGCCCTACACCATCAACTTCGTCCAGCCATGATACTTGTGAGAAAAGGGGTCTGAGGAAGATGAGTGTGAATTTGCACTGATTGCCATCCCTTGACTTTGTGGGTGGTTTGGGGAATCAGGCGTCGACTATAAGATGGTTCTTCTGCACATAGAGGTGTCGTCTAAACTCCAGCTCCAGACTACAAAATGATCAAGTGATAAAGAATAAAATTGCTGGCTTTGACTCTGATGCAATTTTAGCAGGAACTGGGCATGGCTCTAATCTAGGAAAGAGAAGGACCAGGGGAGACAGGATAGCAGTCTTCCAATATTTGAGGGGGTCGAGCTATTTTCCAAGGCACCCGAAGGCCAGACAAGGAATAACGGATGGAAATCGAACAAGGAGAAATTCAACCTGGAAATAAGCAGAGATTTTTCTGACAGTGAGAACAATCCACCCAATGGATCAGCTTGCCCTCAGAAGTTGCGGGAGCGCCATCACTTGAGACTTTCAAGAAGAGACTAGACTGCCATCTGTTCAGAAATGGTGTAGGGTCTCCTGCTTGGGCGAGGGGTTGGACTAGATGACCTACATGGTCCCTCCTAACTCTGATTATCTGTTATCTGAGCTGGCGTCGCTTCTTTGCATTGTTTTGGGAAGCAAGAAAGCTGCCTCTATGCAACCTTTTTTTATCAAGGGTATTTAAGGACCTTCTCAATTAGCAGTCCCAACCATCCAGCTTGCATTAGTCCGTTGCGTTTATTCCCATTGCAGCACTGCTGCTCCAATTAAGTGCCTCTTCCATTTTGTGTTTTCCTAAAAAAACGTATTGGCTGGAGCACAATTAGATCGCGCCACACAGAATTGCTAAACTTGGGCCATGAAGGGACACTGGCCCTTGGGACAAATACTATTCAGAAATAGAAATTGGGAATGATTGTTGAAGAAAATGAAGGCCCATCGAGCAAGTTTGCAAGCTGCATTTCGTCAGCAGCTTTCTATGGGGACAGTGGGATAGGATGTCCCAACGGTGCTTTTTCAAGAGACAACTGGAACAATGTAGAACCGAACACACTCAAAACCATAGAAATGGTGGTAGACTTTAGGAGAAACCCTCCTGTACTACCACCTCTTACAATACTAGACAACACAGTATCAACAGTAGAGACCTTCACATTTCTGGGTTCTATCATATCACATGACCTAAAATGGACATCCAAAAAGCACGACAAAGAATGTTCTTTCGGCGCCAACCCAGAAAGCTCAAACTGCCCAAGGAGCTGCTGATACAGCTCTACAGAGGAATTACGGAGTCTATCATTTGCACCTCTGTCTGGTTTGGTTCTGCAACCCAACAGGACAGACACAGACTTCAGAGGATAATTAGGACTACAGAAAAAACAATTACTACCAACCTTCCTTCCATGGAGGACCTGTATATCCTGCACGAGTCAAAAAGAGGGCTGTGGAAATATTTACAGACCCCTCACATCCTGGACATAAACTGTTTCAACTCCTACCCTCAAAACGACACTGTAGAGCACTACACAACAGAACAACTAGACACAAGGACAGTTTCTCCCTGAATGCCATCACTCTGCTAAACAAATAATTCCCTCAACACTGTCAAACTATTTACTAAGTCTGCATTACTATTACTATCACTATTAATCCTTCCTTTCACCCATCTCTTCCTACTTATGACTGTATGACTGTAACTTTGTTGATTGTATCCTAATGATTTTCATTGACTGTTTCCTAGTATGATTTGATTGCTTATTGTACTCTATGGCTACCAATAAGTGTTGTACCTTATGATTCTTGATGAATGTATCTTTTCTTTTTATGTACACTGAGAGCATTTGCACCAAAGACAAATACCTTGTGTGTTCAATCTCACTTGGCCAATAAAGAATTCTATTCTATTCTGTTTTAGAACTGGAAATGTTTTTCCTTGAAGGGGTTTTACTTCTCATCCACGAAGCTTCTTCGGTTCTGACTGACTGGTGGAGGATAGAAGGATTTGTAGCCCTTGTGGTCATCTGGTCATTAGTACTCTTTCTGAGAGTCGTTGAGGCTGCTTGGAGATTTATCTGTGCCCTCGGGGGTCACCAGGATTGCAAAATGAATCTGGCTTCTCTCATTGACTTTGTTTGTCAGAAGGCCGCAAAAGGATAACCCAGGATCCTGGGATGCTGCAACCATCATAAATGTGAGTCGGTTGCCAAGCGTCTGAATTTGGATCACGTGGTTATGGGGATGCTGCAAAGTTGTAAGTGTGAAACATGGTCATAAGTCATTTTTTTCAGTTCTGTTGTGACTTTGAATGGTCACTAAATGAACTGTTGTAAGTCATGGAAGAAACTTCTAAAAGGGGAAAGGAATACCCTACCCATTATTTCAATCGGAATAAAGCTGGAAGGGAGCTTGGAGATCTTCTAGTCCAGCCACCTGCTCAAGCAGAAGACCCTATACCAGTGGTGGCTAACCATTTTGGGCTCCTGTGCCAAAAATTGTGTGCGTGCTTGTGCATGCACGCTTGCGTGCCAGCACCAAGAAGACAATGCACCCACCCACCCCACCCCATTACCTGCACTACACCTCCCAGCTGATTTTCAGCCCATTTGAAGCCTTTTTCGGCCTCCCAGAGGCTTAAGGAAAGCTCCTTCAGCCTTTGCAGGCTTAAAAAGTGGGCCTGTTTCATCACTTCCGGTATTTCCGGAAATACTAGAAGGGACAAAATGGGCCTATTTTTTCAGCCTGCAAAGGCTTTCCTCAAGCCTCTGGGAGGCCAAGATAGGCCTCAAACAGGTCAAAAATAAGCTGGGAGGCGCACACATGTGCACTGAGGTAAGTTTGCCTGTGACTCGCACGTCGGCGCAAATGCCATCACGGCCCTGTACCATCCAGATAGTTGTCCAGTCTCTTCTTAAAAGTTATGAAGCACCCACAACTTCTAGTGGCAAGCTGTTCCACTGGTTAATTGTCCGCACTGTTAGGAAGTTTCTCCTTGATTCCAGGTTGCTTCTCTCCTTGATCAGTTTCCATCCGTTGTTTCTTTATCAATCCGATATGCTCAGGGACGGATTCTTAGATTACTCTTGGTATGCTGGTAGGATGCATGATAGGCCCCTGACTGGCAGTCCACATGCACCGCCCTGCCCCACGTTTTTTTTGTAGCTTCTTCCACTGGTTGTGTTAACATTTGCTGCAGTCTATCTCACACTTCCACACGTGTTCAGCTTTTTCAGAAATGGTTCTCCTCCTTGGGCGGGAGGTTGAACTAGATGACGTACAAGGTCCCTTCCAACTCTGTTAAATCTAATCTAATCTAATCTAATCTAATCTAATCTAATCTGCCTCCCCATCTCCCACCTGCCCACTGACCTAGAAATTTGCCACGATGGGCCAAATCTAAATTACATTTAATATTTTGCCTGCCGTTCTATATAAGCAGCTTTATCTCTTCCCTCCTAGCAATTTCTCAGAGTGGCGATTAGCATTCATCTGGCACCAATAATTGTGTTACTTTCAATTACTTCTGTGAAAGGGAAGGTCACCAGAGAGGAATGTACGAGCCTCGGCACCTCACCGAGGGCCTGACCTTCCACGTGTATTTGGAGTAGAGAAGAACTTTGAAAAGGTGCTCTTCCTATTTAAGATTACAGGTAATTCAAAGAGAACTCCAATATTAACTCTGTCCGTGCAGGACAGGAAACTTTGGGTCTTCTTTCAATTTCCTAACCTACTCGATTGATAATGAACCAATGGAAAAGGATATTTTTAACTTAGAGGTAAACTGTGGGTTCCTTGATACCTTCAGAGCTTGGTTGTTTCATGAGCCAACTAGATAGCATCACCAAAGCTAGAAGGGAGTCAGGTTGGTGGGGGGGAGGAGGAGGAGGGGTAGGAAGAGGAGGGGGAGGGGGAGGAGGAAGAGAAGAGGAGGAGGAGGAGGAGAGGAGGAGGAGGAGGAGAAGAAGAAGATGAAGATTGGCCTTCCTTGTTCGTTTATTTTTTCCTCAAAAATGTTTCATTTCTCATCCGAGAAGCTTCTTCAGAATTTAAGCCTCTTCTTGGATGAGAAGCAAAATATTTCCAAGGAAAAAAAAATCAACAAGAAAGTCCAGTTACCTTTTGGAAAAGAACCTCTGGGACAACCGTTGTAGGGGGTGTGCATAAGCACACCAACGTGCCTACCGTCCCTGTCCTATTGTTTCTTTTTTATTTTTATTTCTTTTATTTTTCTTATATGTATCCATTTCATGTATCCATAGCTGTGTTTATACTTATACCTGTTATCTTATAATTGCTTGACTAACTAGCTAACTAACTAACTAACAAAATAACTAAATCCTGTTGGACCAGAAGACCTCCAAAATCCCTTTCAACTCTATTATACTGTTCCATTCTGCTATGCAACTCCAAGTTCTGATCGGTGTTCTAAGTTCTGAGTTCTTCTTCAATAAATATTTGGGGTTTTTTTGAAAAGCAAAAATAAAAGGATGTAACACGAAAAGGACAAAAGTTTACGAAGCATAAACAGATTGCATCCCCCTGAGAAATGGCACCACGTAGCCTCACCTGATATTCCTGTGGAGAAGATGCTTTTCGAAATGGTGACCTTGTCTTCTGCATTGCGAGCCCAATCCACCATTCCTCGCCAGCCTTTGACAGGAAAAGTGAGAGCTTTAGCTGCCTTAACAGGCAGCTTCTGGATACTGACAACTTGAGTGAAGAGAGAAAGAAAGAAAGAAAGAAAGAAAGAAAGAAAGAAAGAAAGAAAGAAAGAAAGAA